GAGTTGGCGATTGTGTCGGAGTCTCATAGGATTTATTATGTTGATGTGGAATTGGGTTAGTGCTGCCTGCCCGAGCTGTTGCTATCATTGGCTTCTGTTGATGAACTGATCAAATCAGTTCTCCAAAAGGAACTTCAAAGCACAGCTGCCCTTTGCATGCTGCATACTGAGTGTGGGCAGCAACTAATGGATGTTCCCACTAATCAACCCTGCATGTCGCCAGGCCAGTTAGATGCCCCCTCAAGATGTCCACTGAGTCCGTGAGACACCGTTCTCATCATCCACCGCTCCATCTGTGTAATTGCTTCCTTGAGAGATTACATTCCCGCCAGTGACAACACCAATTAGGCAGTCAGGAGGAAAATACGACAATAAGGCCCTACTTAGCAGAGAAAAGTAGCATTTGGATAGATATCAGCATAATCTTAATGAGTCAACAAACATGACATTTAGATGTGCTCTCACGCAAATGCTTGAGTATGGCCCGCACATGCGGGGAGACGCGGTTGCCTTCAAGGATGGTACTCAGTAACCTTGAACGGAAAAAAACCTGGCAAAGTTACAGATATGAGATTAAAATTGCAAGAATTCAAATCGGAGTAATTGATGATAGGGCTTTGACAAAAGGGGCAATGGTTTGTCCTTTTAAGGAATGTCTCACGCCTCTGATGTCAGGATCTCAATTGCATGGTCATTGCTGATGCAGTATACAAACCCTTAAACCACACCTACACTGCGACATCTGATTGGACTTACGCACATGTTGCTATCATTTAATAATCAGACAGGAGAGAATCCCGGTCTCTGTGTCTCTTGTCTGATAGTCCATCACAAAAGGATTTAACTCCTCGACCAGAAACTGTACTCAGTTGTTTCCACAGACCATTATCCTCAGCTCAGGTAAGTACAATACATGTAAAATGTTCTTTATGTTACCTAATTTAAACTACAATTTTACATTATTGTTTAAGTTTTTAATCATTATTTGTTAAAAATCTATTTAACAAAGCTTTTCACTCCTGATGGTTTTAGTGGTAAGTTATAGGCTACTGAATGTTAAGAGATTAAACAAAATCCAATCAAGTATGGCTGAAATTGGGATTGGAGAGGGGAAACTTTGTGTTTTCATTTTTGATGTAAATGTTACTAAGTTTAATAAAGAAAAGGACGCTATGAAATGTAGCATCTTGTAATATTTTCTCCTCAGACTGATCTGTAAAGATGTACCGTGGACTAGTGTTACTGTTCTTGGTTTTGGTGCTGGAAACCCGATGGAGTGAATCGAGCTGTCAGCAGTCAGAATCTCAAAGATCAGATTCAAACGTAAGTGGCAGATAATGATCATCTAATAACTATAAATATATAGTTTTGCCGATTTTTAAAATAAAAATGTAATTTTATGCACAGGAGAGTCCAAGTTTGCGGCTGTCGGCTCATAACTTGCTGAAGAGGTATAATGACATAGATTATGACAGTTTCGTCGGATTAATGGGGCGCAGAAACGCCGGTGAGTGAACAGATATTTTTTGTTGTATTATTCTAGCAGTTTCTCTTTATTTTATTATTCTTTGAGACGTGCTAATGTTTATACGAATCTTATTATTTTCCAGACACGGATGATTTACCACCCCAACGTAAAAGTAAGACATTTTGGTCATCCTTTTGTGCTTTCAGAATAGGCTAAAATAATCTAAGAAAACTGAATATATGTTGTCTTTCAGGGGAAATGCACGATATCTTTGTTGGACTCATGGGTCGACGAAGCGCTGACCCTGGTAATAGCCTTTCTCTTCAATTCACTGGTGTTTGTGAAAAACAGCTTTTTAGGCGTAATTTCCGGGTGGGACATGTCCCCAACACTTTTTGCCTGGGTCGATATTGTCCCCTACACTTTTTGACACATCTGGCGGCACATACAAACGAAACATCTCAAGTTAGAGTATCAATTTCATTCGTTTGTTATTGTCATTGAAGTCATGCTGAGTGCGCGTTGCCGCTGTAATTAGTGGCGGAACACAACAGTGTTCTATTGGCGCTCGTACACAGTATTCAAAACGGAGGTGCGGTGCAATCTATCCGCCGTTCCAGAGACTCATTCGTTCCAAGAAATCACAAAACAAAAGGCACATTACGTGTCCATGCTCATGAGTCATGACATACAATCACTAATGAACATCTTTGGTTTTAATGAGAAAAAAAAGAAGAAAAGCGGATTAGAACCCAAAACTTCTGACACGTATTCACCGACGTGAAGAATCTCTAGTCGGGACTAATAATATTGATATTGTATTGTAAGGAAGAAAATATCACGTTAACGGTTAAACATGACTTCTATGTTTAACCGTGAACATAGAAGTCACACTCACCCACTTTTTAAGACAAAGTTACGCTATAGCTTTAGCTGACTGTCACCTTGATATAGGCCTACTTTAAGAACTAAAGGCTCGTGCAACTTAAATCAGTAACTTAACTGATTGGTTGTTCATACGAAATCTAACGTTACTGAGTTACTCGCGGGATGCACGAAATAAATTAATATTCAGCGCGAGCATCAGTTCGAATCACAAACGACTCTTATGAGCAGGTTCTTTTGAGGAATCAAAAACATACACCGCGAGAAGTGTGAATTGGTTAATGAACAAATGACTTTTATGAGTATATTGTTCGAACTAATTGATCATAAAAGGACTTGGACTGATGAATCCAATAGTTTTTTGTGTTTATTACACCGCGTGGGTTAAACCACCGACATACGACGAAGTAGCCACATATTATCGCTAACGCTGTCAGAAATTCATCAGTCTATCTAACCTCCCAGACTTACTGTATTTGTGTTGACAGAAACGGGGCGTCCATTGAGGAAAGAGTATCCAGAAACAAGCGGAGGAGGCATCTTCTTCAACAAATGCAAACTGAGGTGAGTAATTCAGTGAGGCTATTCTGCCACCTGCAGGCTTTCTGAATATATTACAACATGTATCTCACCACAGCATTTGTTCGTAAATATAGCATGTCTGTTATGCTTTTTCTTGTAAATATAAATCGTCTCTGCTATATATATATTTTTTTTTTCAATTTGTTGCAGGTTTCGTCGTGGGTTATAGGCAAATGAATTATTTCATATCCAGTTAATCGTCTGTACCACCCTGTCATGACAGCTTCTTTTCAAGACATTTCTTTGGAGCAAAACAATTTATTTTACAAAAGTGATAGAGCAAAATAAAATATTTATATAAAATGAATAAAATAAACATGATTTCCTATGGTGTGATTTGTTTCAGTGTACTGCAAATAATATACATTTATCATTATAAATTATCAAATTTAAATCTCCACTTACATCCCATGCCTTTCAATTAATTTTATTGTTATTTTTTGCTGTTTAATGTATAAAACATGATTTTTGTAAATAAAAATACTATCTATCTGATCTCACAATGTTTTATTACTTAAACGTTCAATAACGCATAAAATGTAGTGACTTCAACCAAGCAAAAATTTTACACAGCAATAATTTGCAAAACACTGATGCTTTCTCATTGTCAACTGCATACCGCTACATATAAAATTATGTATACCAAACCTATATGTGTTATAACTTAATTGAACATAAAAAGAAAACATAATTGTGTCCCTCTAGATGCACAATTCATCGCACTGTCAGAGTTTGGGGATATTCACACATAATGTATCAGGCTACACATAAAACATGATAGAGTTTTAAAATTAAACATTTTAAAAGAGAACATCACGGTTGTTTAAACCAATGAGCATTAAGCTGTGTTGTCAGCAAGTCGTTTCCCATCGTGCTTTTGATCAGCGCAGTCGGTGGAGAGAAACTGCGCGAGACTGCAGAATCCGACACATCCGCCTCGCCATCGCTACAGTTTTTTGTCATATGTCAGCATGACATCAGAGCAAGACAGACCGCTCTCCCGCACAGTCGCACAGATTCTAACCGGCATGCATTTCGCGGTGATCACCGGTGATCGGTTCTGCGCAGATTTTGCTAATCTCAAACAACCAAAATCCAACGTCTGTCCAACGTCGGATGTTGACGTCAGGCTGACGTTGGGTTCTGAACTTCTGACGTAAAGCCAACTTTCGGCACTGACACATAGATTGGCCCCTAAATCTAGACAATTGATAAATGAAATGCAAACATGCCAAGGTTTTAGACTGGTCTTGCAATAACATCTCTATAGCTACATAGTTTTGTGAGGTTTTGAACTGAAAATAAAATTGAAAAACTCACTCGTTTACACTGCCTCTTTCTGCAACTTTTTTGCAAAGTAGGCTACAACGTGAAAGTGCAAGGCTGATGCTCTGTAGTGGATTCACACATATAGGCCTGAGCATCGCGAGGCAGTTTCATTTCGATTGAAAGGACGTAAAAAACGCGAAACCGCACAGCACACTCCCATAATCTGTATGGTGCGTTTCCACTAGTTTCCATTTTCAGTTCATAGAAGTTTAGCTTCACGCGCGAGCTTAAAGCTCAACTTCCATTGAAATTAATAGTAAACACTCGCTCTGCTCCGTGCCAGTGAACATGCTCGAGCTGCTCACGCAGTAACGTTAGTGTGAATCTGATGACGGTATATCGCGCATTCACGCGTCCACAAAAAAAAATAAAAAAATAATGAAAACAAACTTTCAACAACACATTCAGGGAATTTAGAGCGTTCTGATGAAAGGGTATATAGGCCTAGGCTAGAAATACATTTGAGAATGAATCGCTGGTTTTAAAAGAGAAAGAAATATTTGCGTGGTGCTCCCCTGGACGTGGTGCCCCTGGCCACTTGCCCAATTGCCCATATGGTTAATCCGCCTATGTCATTGATGAAATATGGCTTGTAAATACTGCACTCAGACCAGAAGCAGCAATACAATGCAATCACATAGCAAGGCATTATCAACAAATTCATTGAGCATATGCCTAAGTAGCAAACACTTGTCCAAAGTGACTTACAGTTCACTTAATGGGTACAACTGGGCAAGTTACTAAGAGTAATAATGGCAAAAATGTGTTCTTTGTTGAGGTTTGAACCTACAGATTTGGTTATTAGCCCAGATCTGTAACCACTACATAACACCACTCCATCTGCACAGGACACTGGATGATCTAAAATGCTCATCACATTCACATTAGTCAGTGATTTAATTTTAAATTTACATAATGCAATATTTTCTGCAGTATTATCATATTCACCATCATGCTGTGCTTCTGTCCGTTATGTTTTTCCCCTGGGAAGCATTTGTGACTTTGTGACTTGTTGTTTCAGTAGTCTTTGTGTTCTCAGTTTTGGGATTCATGGTATAAGTTGAAACTGACTTTTCTTTAAAATGTTCAAATCTCTGAGCTTCTGTGGTGGGTTTCACAGTGTGGGAAGCCAACGGTAGTAGAGCAGGCACTGGAGGCTGGTAGCGGTGTTGGTAGCCATAGGGCCTCAGACGGTAAGTGTAGTACTCAAGCGTGTACATTAGCACAGGGTCTACGTAGTGGAAAGACACTGCTAGGTCAGAGCAGCACTGTGGGCCCTGCAGGGGAAAAACAGACATAAGAGATGCTGTCACATTTCCACGTGGTCACGGATAGGTTGCATTAAAAGAATAGTCTGGGTTCATTACAAGTTAAGCTCAATCAACAGCACTTGTGTCATAACTTTAAAAATCACAACAATTAATTTAGACTTGTCACAGAACTTTCAATAGAAGTGAATGGGGCCAATCTGTAAACATTAAAATACAGCTATAATAAGATATAAACGATGTGTTAATACTTGCTATTTTAGTATACCATTTAGTTGATAAAACCTTAAAACAACAACTTTACAGCTCCAAAAATACACTTTTAAAAGAATTCAGTGCTTTAAAAAATAAGCTTCAGATTTCTGAAATCCTTTTTACTTCCATTATAAGAGCTTCACTGTAACCTTGATTTTTTTCTTTTTTCTTTTAATGAAAAGTAAAGAAAAACTTTTTAAGTCTTTAATTATTATTACTTAAGAAGTTACACAAATCCACTCAATCATTTTATTTTTTAAACTCACTTTATAAACACTGAAAAGCATTTATATCCTTTTTTGTTGCCATTTTGAAAACCATGGCATGCAAGACAAAATTATGTTTATTTCTTGGGTTTTTTATTGTTAGTCATTAGCTGTCTAGTCACGAATCACATCATCATGTACATGAAAGAAAAACTATCGACAAATACGGTCCCCATCAAACCTATCCATTGTTGATTTCAATCACCTGAAGGACTTGCTAGTTCAGTGTGGAATTTAAATGGGGCTAAAATGAGGTAATTTCATTTTCAATATATATTTCTCAAACAATGTTGTTGATTTTTATTCATTCTCAAAATACTACATCTTGAATGGAAAACTCCTTTTGACGCTTAAAGTGTTTTCTTCTCTCAGGCACAGATGGTACTCAAGTTCTAAAAGCTTTTCAAAAAATAAGTTTAACTTCTGTAAAAAACAAAAAAACAAAGTAATAACTAATTAGCTTGCTGTGGGAAATGTAAGCTGTGGAATGTAGAAAAATGTCACGAAGGACATTAATAGGACCTTTTGTTGGGGCAGTCGGGGACTAATGTTAAGAGTCAGACCTGTAACCCGGATCGATTCTCAATACCGGCAGGAAAAATTTAGGTGGGTGAGTGAATGAACAGCGCTCTCTTCCTCCCTCAATACCCACGACTGAGGTGCCCTTACCTAACCCCCAATTGCTCTCCGGAAGCAGCAGCAAATGGCTGCCCACTGCTCTGTGTGTGTGGGTGTTTCTACAGTTTGCACTGTGTGTTCACTACTCCTAAAGTAGGTGCACTAAATTGGATGGGTTAAATGCAGAGGACAAATTCTAAGTATGGGTTACCATACTTGGCCTTCACGTCACGCTCTCACTTAAAAATATCTTGGCAAAAATGACAATGAGTACATTTTATCTTACACTACCATTCAAAAGAATAGTGTTTTTTTTTTTAAATAAATTAATATTTTAATTCAGTAAAGATGCATTAAATTGACTAAAAATGACAGCAAAGACACTCATAATGTTAAAAAAAGATTTATATTTCAAATGAACAGATTGAATTTAGGCTTTTAATCACATTCATCGGCTCACACATTAGTGGTGATAAACGGAAGCTCAAGAATGTTTGCTTGACGTGCGAGAACCAATGAGGTGTATTCTCGTGTTATGCAGCACGTTTGAGCTTCAGCAAGAACCAGAGAAGTTTGTTCTCGCGCATCAAGCAGGTTCTGTTGAGCTTCTGTTTATGTTCGCTGATCAATGTTTATATGTGAATAAAAGCCTCAAGTCTCTTCAGAAATTTTGCACTAAACCACTCAATTCATATGGATTAATTTTACAATCTCTTTATGCATTTTTTGAAGCGGCAAAGTTTCAGTTGCGTAGCTGTCTATGGAGGGACAGAAATCACTCAGATTTCATCAAAAAGATCTTCAGTTGTGTTCCGAAGATGAACGAAAGCCTTACGGGTTAGGAATGACATGAGGGTGAGTAAATGATGACAGAATTTTCATTTCTGAGTGAACTAACCCTTTAAGCAGCAAAACTGCTTTGAACATTAATAATAAGAAGAAATGTTTCTTGAGTACCTAATCAGCATTAGAATGATTTCTGAAGGATCATGTGACACTGAAGGCTGGAGTAATGATGCTGAAAATTCAGCTTTGCATTACAGAAATAAATGACATTTTAAAATATATTAAAATAGAAGTCATCTATTTTGAATTGTAATTGTATTGAATTGAATTGTAAAATATTATTGTTTTAGCTGTTTTAACCAACCAAATGCAACTTGGTGAGCATAACAGACTTACTTCAAAAATGTTTTTTTTTTTGTTTTTTTTTAATATTACCGACCCCAAATGTTTGAACGCTAGTATAAGTGTTTAAAAAAAAATTTAAGTGTGTGACTTACTTCTACAATTGGGTAGAAGCAGTAATTCCAGTACCAGAAGGTCTTGGAGAACTTTCCAGTAAGATGGTGTTCAGGAATGAAAGGATGGAAGGTTTCCCGGTGCAGCGTGTCCCTGGAGTCTCCTGCTACCACCCCCATTTTCTCCAGGCACTGACCCATCGCTAGATCCTCCACTGGGGTTGTATGAGTGCACACTTTAGTGTTAAAACCCTCCACAAACCTTTTTAAGGCCTCTTTGCTGAGAACATAACCTGCACCACCGCTCATGTAGCCCTGCTTAGCGTACGGCTTGAACCTCTTGCCAAAGTATATGGGCTGCTCTGCCGTGTAGTTTGACAGGATCCAGCGCAAGTTGTCCACAACGACGAACGTGTCATCGTCTGCTTTGAGGAACCAGTCTGCCTCATCGACGTGGTTCTTCAGAGCGTAGTGGAAGGCACGAATGGTCTTCCAGTACAGCTGGTCACGGCCTTCTCCTGTGCCCAGGCCCACTGTGGGGAAGCTGCGATCTTCTTCAGAGCTCATGAACAGAACTACGTTACAGTGACGACTCCAAGTGGCCTTCACATGCCGAGCCTTTGACTGTAGATTACTCGGCCCTGTCATCACCCAGCACAGGATACGCACTTTCTTAAACAGCTCGTCTGCAATGTGACTGTCCTCTCCTGTGTATTTAAAGCAAATTCTATAGTTATGTTTCAATTTAATACAAACCATTTTGTTCATTAGAGACTTCTTTATAACTAAACTGAGAGTTGTATATTAAAGGCGTACTCTATAATTCTCCCCAATTAAAAATGTCTTACACATATATAAAAGAATAGTCCTTTTAATAAATATATTAATATTATGTACACTAACTAATCAGTAATCTAATTAAAGCGATTTTATTTTACATGGGGGCAGACATAATGAGATTAAATTAAGTTCAATGACATAAGAATGTCCAGGATAAATAAAAGTATAAATATGATACAAATCTAGCTTAAACAAAGTTATATCATTAAGTTTTACAAAACAGGCGTCAAGTCATTGACCCATGTCCATCCTAATACTCGCTGTAACTCAGTTACACCCCTGTTTTTCAGACACTTTTACTCGCATAATAAATCAACCATGGCTGACAGTGGATACAATGGCATCTGTAACTGAGAAACATTGCCTTTGCGTAATGCTAATGCATAAGTCCAAGACTGAAAATTAATTGGTGCACTTTGAACATATTACTGTGGCTACAATATACACTTTCATGCAACATCTTCCAATGAAAACTTAAAGGATTAGGTCACCTCCAAATGATAATTTACTCACCCCAATGCCATCCAAGATGTTCATGTCTTTCTTTCTTCAGTGGAAAAGAAATTAAGTTTTTTGAGGAAAACATTTCAGGATTTTTCTCCACACAATGGACTTCAACGGTAACCAAATTTGAATCACGTTGGAAAGGTCACGCTGGACGTAGGCGGAAGTACCGCCCCATTGTTTACAAGCGTGGAGAAGGAGGATCGTTCAAATTTTATTGTATGTTGAATGACATATTTATGTCTTTGTGTCAGTTTATTGTTTAAAATGGTCCTTTCGTGTGCGTATCCTGGATGTTTAAAACAATGGGGCGGTACTTCCATCTACGTCCAGCGTGACCTTTCCAACGTGATTACGTAATGCCTGGCGCGTCGCAGACCAGCACAAGACGAACAATTGTGGTTAAAAAGTAAATACATTTGGTAACGCTTCCTTTTACAGTCCTGTTACCCATGTACATACTATGTACTTATTATTGTAATTACAATTACTGGGTAATAACTAGGTACTAACCTTGAACCTACCACTAAACATACCCCTAACCAATGTACTTACCTTATATTAGCCAGTTCTTTCTAAGTACACTGTAAGTACACGTAAGTACTGTAAAACTTTTTTTTTTTTTTTTTAAGAAAGTGACCGATCGTTTTGCTAGATAAGACCCTATTCCTCAGCTGGGCTGCATTGATTTGGACTTCAACAATTTGGTTACTGTTGAAGTCCATTGTGTGGAGAAAAATCCTGAAATGTTTTCCTCAAAAAACTTAATTTCTTAGAAAGAAAGACATGAACATCTTGGATGGCATTGGGGTGAGTAAATTCAGGAAATTTTCATTTTGAGGTGAACTAATCCTTTAATGAAGTGTTTAGAAAGTGAAAGCTTTAACCAGTTATTAAAGGGATAGTTTACCCAAAATTTTAATTCCGTCATCATTTACTCACCCTTAGGTTGTTCCAAACCTGTATAAATTGCTTTGTTCTATTGAACACAAAGGAAGATATTTTAAAGAATGTGGGAAACTGAACAGTTCTGGGGCACCATTGACTTCCTTAGTCAATGTTGCCCCATAGCAGCCTGGCTACAAACTTTCTTCAAAATATCTTCCTTTGTGTTCAGCAGAACAAAGAAATTTATACAGGTTTGGAACAACTTGAGGGTGAGTAAATGATGACAGAATGCATCCCTACAATATTTCATATCATGTTGCGCTCATTCATAAATGATGCACTAGAGGGCGCTGCAGCACCTGGCTGGTGAGGATGCTTGAGGTTGATCAGGGCAGATCCTTCCACTCTCCAGGTAAGGTTGGGGGTGTTTTGCTCTGGCTCCAGTGGAGAAAGGTTACTTTTGCCATCATGCTGCCAGCTGAAGCTCTCCTCAAACCATACCTGTCTCAAAAACACGTACAACGTACAGCTGCCCACCAGGAAGCCCAGGGAGAAAGCACACTTTGAATTTCCTGCTTTCATGGTGACCACTCAGGGATCCTCACCACATTGCTGCAAGGCTAGAATACAAATATTGGTTACAATCATTTGATTGCATTCATTTTCAGAGATTTCTAATATACTAATTTGCATTAAGAAATGACAAAAATTCTCATTTTAAATTATAATATTACTTAATTATTTAATAATTACAATAATTACATTCCAGGGCTCCAGACTAACATTTGAGAGCAGTAGCTCTGGTGCCAATAAGTTCTACAGATGGTGGCACCAGCACCTGATTTGGTGGTGTTGGTTGGATTATTAATCATACAAGTAATTGAATCATATTTCTATGGTTTTGCATTAATAAGTGCAGTTACTAATTATATTACATGTTTATTTATTGGAAATGTAACAGCTTTAACAGCTTGAATTGAGATGCAGATAAAACTTTTATTGACAACAGTAACATGCAAAAACCAAATTTTATATTTAATTTAAATATTTTACTCTTATTAAATATACCATTGTTGCACTAGATAGAATCATACTGAATAAGGGATTATAAAATGAGTGCTCTTTACTTGCTTTCTGTGTGAAATACAAAAAGACTACTTTTCCATATATTAGGGAGTGGAAATGGCTAACAAGTCAATAAGTGCACCTCTGCCGCCATCTACTGGTTATAGTGGTAATTGTATGTCTTTAAAAAAAAAAAAGTGTTTATTTGCCACAAAGTGTTATGCTGCGTCCCAATTCGCATAATATCCGTCCTAAATAGTATTCGAAAATAGAATTAGTATGCCCCAAATTGTAGTATGTTGAAATGAGTGTTCCAAAGATACCCGGATGGTCTACTATTTCCGGTCAGAATCCAAAGTGCAGATCGATCAAAGAGTATAGAAGTACCAGCATTGTGAACTTTTGTAAAGATACGTTTACCCATTAAGTTTTAAATGCATCATTACATTCAAATTGCAAACACATGAGGAGAGTCTTCGCATGAAAGACCCATGACTGGCAGATCAACGTGCTACAACATTTCTCTCCGAAACGGTAGGACATTAAATTAGATTGAATGGAGGATTTTAACTGTGACAAGATGATTGACAGGGCAGTTTATGGTGACAGGATGCATGCGACAGAGCTGTTCGTTAAAGATGACGAAGTAGTATCTCCCAAAGCTTGCCTACTCTTTTGCTACACACTCAAAAGTATGTACTTTTTCTTCACAAAAAGAGTACATACTTTTAGGGCATAGTATAAGTAGCCGAATTGGGACGCAGCATTAGTTTTACTTCATCTATCATCTTTAAACTTTTACAAATCCTCACATTAAAAATAACATTAAAATTGATTTTTATTTAGAGATTTGAAGTGTTGGAAAAAGTGTAAAAGCACTTGAAAGGCATTGAAAATGGCTTGAATTTCACTCTCAAAACAGATCAAACGCTGACGTGGAAACCAAGAGAAACGTGCCATGAACGAGAAAGTTATAGAAGGCTTTACAATCCACAACATTCTCTATGGATTTAATTTTGTATGCTAACTGTAACCATGGTATTGTGGCAGAAACAGTAGATTGTTTTTACATTATTCATCACAGGCTTCGTACAACCATATCTGTGGTTTATAACAGAGAATTATTTGCCGGAGTAGTGATTTGATAGCTTCTCACTATATTTTTCAGCAATGTTATTAATATTGCGGCGAATTCAAACGCTTACTCACCAGATCTCCCAGCGCTGTGAGTGATGTGATCGAGATCGGCCCGCGAGTGTTCTCTTTCAAGCATACGTTTCGGTGTCTCACTATGGGATATGCCCCTTCCGCGTATTCCTCAAAAGCCCTATTACATTACGCCAGCCCCAATTGGCTGGCAGACATGACGTTGTGTCTGCAAGTGGCTACCCCACCCCTATAAGTATAAGAGGAGCAACGCAACGTCATTACGACATTCAAAAACCTCTTCACGCTTCACACCAGAAGCCTAGAAGCCTACAAACTTTCAACGAACTTCTGGACGAATTACTGGCCACCACGCCATTTTTCGTCTGGCTCCTTCGATTCGCATTCCAGCCGATTGCAAGGATTGTTCGACACTACGATGGCTGCAGCAATGCAGACTATCCAGGCTAGTGAGGGAGATTCTGTGCGACTCTGTTCATGCGTGAAACAAATTTTCATGCAAGGACACACACCAGGTCTGCTCTGCATGTCTCGGGCTGAAACATGCTCAATTGGCGATCGAGAGTCCCGGCACATGTGAACACTGCGCACGCTTCACCATGAAGAGCCTTCGTCGCAGGCTAGCATGCCCCTTATGACACCTAGCCCAGGTAGGTAGCGGGTCAGAGCGGAGCACAGGAACAGAGATCTGCCTGGCCTAGGAAGAACTATTCGCCTGCAGCAGCTCAAACGGCCCAGCCAGCTCCTCAACCTCATCCTCATCCCCATCTTCAGGGAGCGAGGAGGAAGAAGAAGACAAATTGACAGGGTCTTCCCCAGGGAAGGGAGTAAACAACAGCCCCCCAGTTTGCTAGCTCCCGACCCTCACATGTTCAGCGTTCGTCAAATCACGAGTTCCACTGTTCACAGATGTTCTGTGGGGAAAACAGCGCCCGGTTGGGCCAGGGGAAGTAGAGCGGTGAAAAGGAAAAGAAACGGTGCAGTGGTGCACACCAACCCACTAGTGATATGCACTTTTCATGTTCAAAATTCAATAAAGTTTTCACTGTACCCCCAAAAAATGTTGCAAAACATATTAAGAGAACACATTATAACATCACCTCAGGGAGCTTTCGATCTCTTAGAGGTGATGAGCCACTCAGACTCTGTCCAAACGCTAAGAGCCCACGCATGCGCAATACAGACCACGAACTCGTTCATGGCTCAGCCACACGATGGCACCGGAACGCTGCGAATAAACAATTGGCAAGAGTGTACAGAGTCCCGCTGGGTATTAAAGACAATACAATTCGGGTACAGACTGCAGTTTGCCACTTCCCCCCCGCATTTCAAAGGGATAATTCATTCTCAGGTGCGGGCAGAGTTAAAACATGTTCTTCAGGATGAAATTTATTCACTGTTGAACAAAAGGGCGATAAGAGTGGTACCGCCCGAGCAAAGCCAGAGTGGGTTTTACTCTAGATACTTTCTCGTTCCAAAGAAAGGAACTCATGCCCTTCGTCCCATATTAGATCTGTGTGCACTGAACAAATACTTAAGGAAGTACAAGTTCAGAATGCTCACTCATTCTACACTCCTAAAACTGGTGTGCCCAGGCGATTGGTTTACATCGATCGACCTGAAAAACGCATATTTTCACAAAGATAAACCCAGCCCACAGGAAATTCCTGAGGTTTGCTTTCCTTGGAGTGACATATGAATACCTGGTTCTTCCATTTGGCATGTCTCTCAGCCCAAGAGTTTTTATAAAATGTACAGAGGCGGCCCTGACCCCGCTCAGGGAAAAAGGCATTCGTCTCGCTACTTACATAGACGACTGGTTGGTGACAGCTCAGTCAGAACAAGAAGTGAGATATCACACAACCATGCTGCTGGAACACATACAGAAACTGGGTTTACAACTAAACACCGAAAAGAGTGTTCTGATTCCTGCACAGTCCATAACATATCTTGGGCTGTCACTGGACTCGGCGACATTCAGAGTGCGACTGTCAGAGGACAGGGAGGGAAAATTCACCCGATGCCTGACCGAATTTCAGAGGGGGAAAAATATCTCTTTCCGCATATGCCTCAGACTATTGGGACTGATGGCCTCAGCCCTAATAGTGATTCCCTTAGGCAGACTGTTTATGAGAGAATTTCAGCGCTGGCTAGCGTCTCTGAGGCTGGACCCATTAAGGCAGTCTTTGCACTGCGCCAGTGGAGACACCCAACCTTTCTGGTTCAAGGGGTACCCATGGGCGTGGTTCAAGCCAGAAAAGTCATAACGACGGACGCTAGAGCTTCGTCGACTAGGTCTCTCTATGAATGCAAATGGGGCGTGTTTGAGCGCTGGTGCGCGGCTAAGCACGAGATTCCCTTCAGTGCTCAGTGGCAGTCGTTCTATAATTTTTACAGGACTTGATAGACCAAGGGAAAGCGTTTTCAACCATAAAAGTGTATTTGGCCGCTATTTCTGCTTGTCACATAGGTTTTGATAATAAAACCGTTGGGCAGCATCCTTTATTATGCAGGTCCATGAAGGGCGCGCGTCGCGCTTTACCAGTTTCAAATCGCTTTCCCCTTCATGGGATTTATTACTGGTACTTGATGCTCTCTCAATGTCCCCATTTGAGCCACTGGACAAGATTGATTTAAAAATATTGTAATTTAAGACGGCCTTGGCTTCGGCGAAGCACGTAAGTGAGATTCACGCACTTTCGGTGCATTCAGCATGTACACAGTTCATGCCCGAGGATGCAGGGGTAGTTCTGAGGCCTAATCCTGCATTTATGCCCAAAATAGTTAATTCTATCACTCCTTTGGAGTTAAGAGCTTTCTATCCACCATCTTTTGCTTCGTCAAAACAGCAAAAGCTAAATGAGTTGTGCCCAGTGCGTGCTTTACGCATTTACATCGAAAGAACCAGAGGGTTCCGGGAGAGTGATCAGCTGTTCGTATCTTAGGTAAAACCACGTATGGGGAAGCCGATTACTAAGCAGCGTTTGTCGCACTGGATAGTGGAGGCGATTTCATTGGCATATTCCAGTAAGGGTAATGCGCCCCCAGCTGGTTTACGTGCACACTCAACAAGGGGAATGTCAACCTCGTGGGCTCTTTTTAAAGGAGTCACGATACAGGATATTTGCGAAGCGGCGAGTTGGTCCTCGCCACATACATTAGCTAGGTTTTATAAACTGGAAGTTACAGCTCAAACTTTAGCACAAGCGTTATTGAACGTTGGAGTTGAGTCATAACTCATGACTCGTCCACCCCTGGAGGCGGTGCTGTGGTTGGCAGGAGACTTTGAGGCAGGCTATCTGGCAATACGGGAGTTAGGATATCCCATAGTGAGACACCGAAACGTATGCTTGAAAGAGAACAATAGGTTACTTGCGTAAACCACGTACTAATTTTTCAGGAGTGATGATATTACTGCGCCGTGTCGAAGTGCTCCCAAACACTTGCTATGGTATTCCGC